GCAGGAATGGCCACCTGCTCAGGTGGTTCTGCACTGATTTCGCAGTTTGGCGTTATTCCTGGTGATCAAGGGAAAGAAGGATCTTCTGTGCTCTATACCGGCTGTGTCGCTCCTGAAAGATAAAAGGACGTTTTTCAGTGATGTGACTTTAGTGTTATAGTACAAGTGGAAAAAGTGATGGCTTTTACTTTAATGCAGAACAAAGGCCTGGTATGAGCTGCAAAAATACCTGCAATTGTGTTGAAGGCATTGGCATAGACATTGTTGAAGCTACATTCAACAGCAAGAGGCCTGAAAAAAGGGGCCTCTTATTTATAGACCCATTCTCTGAAAACTTACCCAGTGATCTAACGTATGGTTTAAGGAATAATCTATGAATGGCCCTTGTTTTACCTTAATCATCTGGCCAGTCTACCAGTCTTAACTTCTCGCTCTGAAGAGCTGAGACCTGTGATTATTGCCACCTTTCCTTTAACTTATCAGTTATTCCTTTCTTTGACTAAAAATTAATTGTAAAACTGGGGCTGAATGAGATGATGCTGAAGTTATTGAATTTATTGGCCAGCTGCCTTGGGGAAAGAGGATAGCAGAACAAATTGCCTCAGGGGAGGCCCCCTTTTGCGGAAGGCAGCGATAACTCGGCCCTGCTTCATCAGTTTCTTGGTGTCTACCCAAAAGCTGAGTCTACCCAGACTGCGGTTGCTGAGGAGCAGCTGAAGCAGGAGGAGCTGCTGCTGCCTCCTGTTACGGCCTTCTTGTCCTCCATGCTGGTGGCAGGCTGAGCAGACTAAGAGGTGCTGTCATGTGCTGCGGAGCAAGTGGAGTTACCCAGCGTTAAGGCCAGCCCAGCTTTCAGCATAACAAAACATGTGCTTGGTGTTTGCAAGCAGGACAAGTGTAATTGCCGAGCATCAGAAAAAGCTCACACAGTTCATGTATATCTGCAGATGTTCCTGGTAAACTATGCCTGCTGCCTTTCCTGCTTTAAAACTCTTAGGCTTCTGATCTCAAGTTCTCCGTTTGTCCCTCAGAGGTAGGGGGATATCAGAGGCTGTTTCCCACAGGCTATTTCCTTGCAGGTACATTGTAATCTAAAATGATATATTATTCTTAATCCTGGGATCTGTTTGCTGATTCCTCAACAAACTTGTAAAGCCATGCTGCAGGCTCTTTGCAATGTGTTATGTTAAACAGCCATCTGTTCTGCACGTCTCCTTTGCGAGACGGGCTGAGGACGGAACGATCTCCGCAGAAGCGTTTTATCAGTCTCTTGCTCCGTTTTCCCCATGGCCACAGGTACGAAGACGCCTTGGTTCTGTTGCTGACAGAGGTGTTGAATCGAATCCAGTTCAGGTATAACCAGGCACAGTTGGAGGAGCTGGATGACGAGACGCTGGATGATGATGTAAGGAGCAGAGTTGAAAAAGGACAACTGCAGGTTTGGATATGAACTGTTGTATTGGTTAGGGCTGGAATGTCTTTCCCAAAACATGGTAAAGTTTTCGGAGCACAAGCTAGACATCTGCTTCTTCACTCAATTCTGTGTGGGTTTAAAGGAACACGAAGTGTTTTTTATCATACTTTAAAAATCACACTAAAAGGATATGACCTTTGTTTTTAACTTTGACCTGGAAAAAATACAGACACATATGTCTCGATTATTGGAGGCATTAGGCATCCATTTCCTATTGATTTGGAATGTAAATGCTGAAATACCCCTGAGAACAAAAGCTTTAAGCTGTATTTGTCATTGGTGCTTTCATTTGAACCTTCTATTTCTCCTGAGTCAGTATTGGTAAACATAATCTCCATCAATATTGACGTGCTCCAGAAAAGAGTAAAAGTTAAGTGGAGTAGGTGACCAGAATGAATGACACCAGAGCTACTGGAAGGGCAGGTTGTACTGTATAATGGGCGCTTATCAGCAGCGCAGTAACTGTGCTTTAAGGGCGAAATCTTGCAGCTTATCGCTCCAGGGGAACATATGCTCACAGATTGCAGATGCAACACAGATTGGTAAATTATTCTCCATCAGGCATCCGTGAACATGTGATGGTCAGAACAATAGCACCTCTTCATTTTTCAGGTGTCCACAAAAGTCGAGCTCTCAAAAGGAATTAGCTAGACACAAGCTAAAGTTAAGGCATACTAATCTACAAAGAGCCATCGGTTTCCATTTGAAAGCGTAATCCTTACCTTGGTATTTCTTCCCGTAGCAGCAGACTGAGTGGCAGCGGTACTTGCGCCAGAGCTTGGAGGTGGTTGCAAAAGTCATGGAGCTCTTGCCAACTCATGCCTTCTCTACACTAGTAAGTAGTTAACAACGACCGAATGAAGGACTGCATGGAACGAACACCAACCACTGGAGTTTTTTTGCAAGCTGTTTGATAGAGGCTACAATGAGAAAAAAATAGCAGGGGTTTGCTTTTGGATGCAAAAGCTCGGCAAAGTGGAGACTAGAAGTCAAAGGGAAAAAATTGTCTTTTTCTGGCTTTGTCGGATTTCTTGATGTGTTTTTGAAGAGGCCATTGCAGTGAGCATCTGTTGTAGTTGATGGACACTAGGCTCTTTAGAAATTCCCATCTCTCCAGATGTAAATATTCAGCAACAGCCCTTCACTGCTGTTTATGTTGGCCTTTGTGTTAGGAGGCAGTGCTGCAAATTGGACAGATGAGAATCTTATTAGGGTTTCACGGAGAGTGAAGTCTTTGCTTAAATGAAAGGCTAGACACAAATGCTGAAGAGAGGGCCTCAGACAACTAGGAATTATATCTGATAAACACAGATATGCTTACTTCTCTCCAACTTGTGTCACTATTGTTGTTGAGATCAGTGTTGTAAAAAGTTGCCTGGGTTTGTAGCATTTAGTGGTTTCTGAGGAGGAGCTCTCGAGGCTATGAGCCAGTGGAGCCTAGAATTCAGAGTGGTTGTTGCCTTCCCTCTGGGTGGAGAAGAAAGGTGAGTGTATTCAATGGGATCTCAAAGCAAATGTAGTAATTCTGCTGGAGATATTATATACCTTGACCTCTGAACCATGTTCCCAAGAAGCAGAAAAGTTGAGCAGTTGTGGAGGAAGAAGGGTTCCTGACTTGGACTATGGGTTTGGTTTCTTCTTTTTTCTTTCTCTTGCTCATATTTTTAGTGAGAAACATTGTGATTGAGATGAGCACCAGAAGTCTGTTACTGGAGACTCTTAAGTAGTGAGCAGATTCTTTCCTGTATGAATATAAAAGTTCCTCTGCAGCGTGTGGCAAGGTGTGAGTCAGCAAGATGCAAGCAATAAATGAAACTGCTGTTTCACTGAGCCCCTGAGCGTATGGGTCATATGGTGAAGAGCACGTGAAGAGCATTAACAAGAGGAAGGCTTTTTTTTTTTTTTTTAAGTAGTTCCACTCCTGTAGTTATATAAAGGCATTCAACTGTTAATTAGGCACAACATAATCTTGGTAGTGAACGCTTTTGAGCCCTGTGTTATTTCATTCCTGCACACTGGGTAGCCCTAGAGGTGCTCAAGAAGTCTCATATGCGTTTCATAAGTCTTTAAAATGCTATTGAATTCAGTGGCTAGTCTAGCAGTAGCGAGTGTCTAGAATATAATATATGTTTTTTTCTGCCATTTCTCTGCCCTGTGCTGGGCAATGAATGACTACAGTTCCTTCCCCGATGGATGGTTGAACTTTCATAAATCCAGCCACCTGAAATGTAGTTTCTGGCTTTGCCAATAGGAATTAGGTGGAATTATGCCAGACTGAAAGGGTTGGAAAATATTATTTGAGGTGGAATATCTGCAAGGAAAAAGTTAGCATGCAATTCTGTCTTATATGTGCAGAAAAGCATTTAGGTACAAGGCAAACAATGCCCTAATACATACCACTGAAGTAACTTGTCTGGCTGAACACCAGGAAGAGGTTTCTACTCTGTGTGCACAGTATATTCCACTGTGTTAGCACAACCTGTTGCCCAGCTAAGTATCACTAGGAACAGGCATGTTTGCTATCAGTCTTGAATGATGAAGTAAGGTTAATGCCCTGTGTTCCTAGAGCAGGATGCATCATGACTGTTGCTTGTTCCCTTGGCTCTTTTCCCCATGGGGCTTCAGCTGTTCCTGATACAGCTTGCCAACAGAGCGGCTGCAGTGCTTTCCGTCTAAACTCTGTTGTAGAGACACTGAAGTCAGCTTCTTCAGTTGAATGTTTTGGTAGCTGCGTTTTGCAAAGCTGATGCTGATGGGTTAGGTGGATGCAGTTCAGGCATCCTGCGCTCCAGGCTCAGCCTTTCCCTGGTTGTGTACCCCTGCGTTGTTCAGTCTGGTTATGCCACACTATCACTTATAATTGTCAGGCCACCATCCTGTTAAGCTGATTGCTGGTATCTGTGGGAAAAGGAGCGCTATCACAGAGGAGTCCCTTCAGTGTGGTGATCTTCATTGTTTTTATGACAGCTCTCAAGACATGAGAAGCTGTGGCGTGCAGAATTGGCCCAGATCCTAGAAACTTGCCTTTCTACCAAATGTCTTTTTAAAGGGAGTAGAGAGAAAAGAATACTGTTCTCTAACAGCGTAACTATAGTTGAGTGTAAATTGTGTCTACCGAGCCCTAAAATCATGCTCATTCCTTGTCTTTTCTAGTTTCCAGTTCTGCAGGATAACTTGGAAGTGTACCTGGGACTCCAGCAGTTTGTGGTCACTTCAGGGACAGGTAATACCACTGTCCATCACTGTAGTCCTCAGCTCTCTGAACAGAAGATTTTGAATGGCAAAAATGCTGCATACCTGCTTTAGTGTTGCTTCCTCCATGTCCTTTTTAGGATCTGAAATTCTTACCCCAATATGTATAGTATGTAATGCTAAGTAGTCAGATTTTTGTCTGCTATTGGAGTTTAATAATGTGGTTTAGTATTGGTACGTTTCTTACCTTGTTTTGGCACTTGAAATGAAGATACCCTATGTGTTAAGAACAGGTAGGCAACATCAAATGCTACAGTAATGCGAAGTGATGATAGTTACTTTTTTCCTCCCAGTAAAACTCCATTCAGGAAGAGTTGGGCTTCTGTTTGCTTTGGGCTCAAATTTATCATGAAGTTGTCATAATAGGAGCATTTTTATTTAGGCTTGAAATAAAACCACGTGTGATGTAACAACAAGATCAAGTACTTAGGATGTAGTAGCAGTTTCTGAAGATTTCTGTCTAGCTGGCGTCTTGGGAGCCTTCACATAGAAAGAAGTATAAAAAGAAATCAGTACTCTGAACTGAATAAAAACGAAAAATGTGATTGCTTTTTTAGGAACATGGCTTGTTGCTACTTCCTGAAAAGTGAGGAAAGTAGAAGTAGTAGTTGGATGACTGTGGTATCTGAATGAAGACAGGTTATAGCTAAGGATGTTTCAAGTTTTCCAATATGTCCAGTAAAAGGAATCCGTTCAGTCTTAAATACTGTCGTATATAAAATATACTGCCTGTAACAAATTTTGTACGAAAGCAGACATTCCTTGGCGCTCTCGATGTTAAAAATGGCAATTTTGCATAGATGGTTCAGGAAAAAAATACTTCCAATTTTAGGATCGTTTCATACGATCGCAAGTGACGTGTGCGTTTTTTAGTGCTGTAGTCACGGTGCATGTTAGACGCTTTCATGGGGACTGGCTCTTCAGCTCGTAAGTTAGAGGTAGCTTAGATGGAACTGAGGATTCAGATTGGATGATAGAATGCTGGTACAGATGGTATGTACGTGGCAAGTTTGTTGCTGAAAATTTAAATGTGCTTAGATTAAATATGGGTAGTGGAAAGAAAAGCAGATTTCCTTCAAAACATGGTGTTGCAAAACATATATGTGTGGTGGAGGGTGAAAGTCTGGGATGTTTGGAGACGAGATATACACAACTGAGCGATTAAACAACCACATTGCTAATAAGACTGGCAAATCCACTTTATCAGTATGTTTCTTGTATCTGAGAAGTATAAATTTAATAACCCTATTTCAAATTAGAAGCAAATATACCCTTTCAAATCTGGTTCTGTTGCTGGAGAATTTATTGCACTCTAGCCAGCAGAGGGAGTCTCAGTAATGACCTTCTCCACGGACCTGGAATTGCTGTTGGAAGTCAACAAATAACCAGAAAGGCTCCTGGTTTTTTTGATCTTCATTCAAAGTAGAGGAAAACAAACGTGTAAAAGGCTGAAAAATTTGGTAACATCCATTTCATCCTTCAAAGAAGAATTTCAAGTGTGGCTGGATCAGAGCAGTTGAACTTGCCTTACTTGGTTTGAATATTTCCATCGCTTGGACAGTGCTCAGATTTGAACTGTGACCCACTGCAGAGCTAATTTAGGAAGAATGCTTGTAATGTAATTAGAGTAAACTTTGCGTTTCCTGTAGCTTTGTAATTAGGTTTCCCATCCCAAAGAACTGTATTCGTTAAGGTCACAAGGTTATGTGTTTTCTTTCTCACACAAGCTTTTTAAAATATGAGTTTCCAGGCTGCTAGGCTCTTATTCTGCAGATATTAGCACAAGTGAATATGTACACCTGGGTCTTCTGGCTTCATTGCTAATGAACGAAAATGTCATTTCAGGTCATAGGCTAAATATCACTGCAGAGAATGATTGTCGGCGTTTGCACTGCTCCTTAAGAGACCTGAGCTCCTTGCTGCAGGCTGTTGGGCGTTTAGCAGAATACTTCATTGGAGATGTGTTTGCTGCCAGGTTCAATGATGCTCTTACAGTGGTGGAGAGGTAGGTGTGGGACGGGGACTTTGCTGTTCCTTTGTCAGTACAGGGAACAGTTGTCACCACTGCGTTTGAATGTCGAAAGCGAGGTTTCTTTCTGCCTTCCCTTGTTATAATTAAACTGAGATGCAAACAACTCATGGGCCGGTACCTTAGCACTGACACATAAGTTTTGCAGATGGCTCTCTAATCCATAACCAAAGAAATAAATTACTAATGTGATGGAGAGGTAAATAAAATCAGTTATTGGAGAAGGCTGAGGTACTTGTTTTGCAGCATCTGTATTTGTGATGCAGTGGTAAAGTTTGATTACTTCAGAGATGCATCTCATAAAGCTAAATCTCTAGAATCTCTTTTGTTAAATATATTGTGAAAAATGGAAAGCAGACTTCAAGAAACTCTCCAAGAAACTTAATTAGCGCTCAGTTGCGAATTACAGAGCCACCTTGGTTATACTTCTATTTCACTTCCGCATAGGAGCCTTGTACTTGTTCCACTCTAGCACAAACAAGGAAATAGGCTCTGAATTACAGGCAGCCTAAATCTTTTCTGTATATTGGCTAACTATTGACATAGACTTGCCAAGAGCTGCATTCAGAGAAGATGTTCTTCTAGTGGTTTTGTAATAGATTTGTAGATGTGTAATAGATTTGTAGATGTGTATATGTGTCTCACAGTTCCTCTGTGCTACTATTTATGTATTCACTTACAGGTTGGTAAAAGTAACGCTATATGGGTCCCAGATTAAACTGTACAACATCGAAACTGCAGTACCATCTGTATTGAAACCTGACCTTATTGATGTGTGAGTATGAGATAAACGCTGCAAAATCTAAAGTCAGTACCTACATGGGGTGGAGGAAGCTTCAGATATCCTAGATCTGGGTGCTCTTAAGCATTTGCTTGGCAGCTGCTCTGAAAAATGCATCTCCAGTGATTGCTAGCTGAGCAGGAGAGCGTTTTCTTTTAACTGTTAAAGGTCAAGGCTGCTACTAGCATTTTGCATTCTTGGACCACTGTTTCCTCAAAATGGTATGCTCAGTTTGTTTAAAGAAAAATATACTTGGGGTCAAAAATAAAGGCCTGTTGTTATTAGCTCTAAAAGCAAATCATGATTCTTTTGCAGTACGATTAGATGGTAAAATAAGTGTTAAACTGTGATCTTTTAAGAAACAGATCCCCTATCTGTTTATAATCCAGTTTTGTGGACACTTGCTACCAAAGTCAGATCTGTGACTCACATAAAAGGTGGGTTTTTTCTTAGCACAGGATTTTGAGTCCCTTGGCTTCCAAGACAAATGTATGCCTTCAAACTATGAATCCTGTTTCTGAAACAAATGAATACCTTCGATCCAGAAGCTAACATTAAATGTAAAATCTTGATGCCGTTAGAAGTAGAACACCGCTCTTAACAGCCTTTTAGAGACGTGCCATTCGTAATGGCCGTGTTGTACAAACCTGTTTGCTGCCAGCTGGCATTTGGTGAGCAGAATTTAAGCTTGTCCTTTTAAACATGTCCAATGCTCCTTCTAGTTTATGACTGCATGTATAGCAGCTCTCCGAGAACCAACACTTGATTTCATCATGTAGTTCCCTGGACTTCTCCTGATAATCCCAAGTTGTTAGTACTGAGTTTTGTGGAGATGATGATGTTTTAATCATCTGTTTCTCCTTTTTGGCTTGAAGTAACTCAGGAGCCTTTTTACATGATCTGTTAGCGAGGGCTTCTCATTCCTTTCTTTTGGCTACGTCCAATGGCATTGCAGAAACTTGTGATCCCTTTTCTAATGTTACTCTAACAAAGGTACGTTGTCTAATGTTTGGAGGACACCTGTCTGTGTGCTCACTAAGAATTGTTCTGACTTGTATTTTAGTGCTGTGCCAAAAATAACATTCTGATCTACCAGTTTTGATTGTAATTTGACTTTACTAGCTTTCTTATCCCTGTGACTTAATGCTGTTGCTCAGTGGACGAGTCCAGTTACACCACGCCTTTAAAGATACCTAGAGTGTACAGGCTCCAGAACCAAGTAATATTTTAGGCCATGTTGTTAATTTGATCATAAGCAATGCACCTGTTCTCAGTTAATGAATGGGGAAGAGTTTAGGCAGTAAATACACTAACGGAAGGAGAGACGATATTAAGGAAAAGCTTTGATTTCAAAACTTGTGTGCAAATCCACTGGACTTGGTGACTGAAAGTGAGATGTTCACAAGGAGGCTGATACAGGCATAAGCAATAGGGATCTTAAATCCAATCGCTATGTTGGGGACATGTGCATGTTTGAGAATCTTTATTTTTGGAGGGAATGTCAGTGTTCATAGATGCCTCTCTTCAATAAAATCTGCAGAATAGGGATTAGTTTTGAACAATTCTTCCGACTGGGCAATGTATTTTACAGACTGCTGTACGTGACTGTAGATGCCAAATGGTATCCATAAGGAAACTACCTTCTAGTCCCCCTTCCTGCCAATCAAATGGGTATGTGGAATGATTCATGTACTGCAAGACTAGGGAATATGGCAAGTGATTAGAGGAGTATCTGAGACTGCAGTATCATAGCACTTGCTGTTCTCCAGTCTTTTTTTAATTTGTGCATGTTCTTGATGGCATTCCATTTTTATTGCTGTTTTTGCACAGGCTTGAAAAGTCTGCAGAACTCGGAATGTCACTATAAACTGCTCTTCTTAATAAGAGCACAGAACCTTCTAAATCTAAACAGGCATCCCAGACACTTCAGGTGCTAAAATATGAGGTCAAAGAGCTATGAAAATAAATAAGATGGATACCATTTTGCATCCTTGACGTAACGTTCACTGGTACAACAATCCTCCTAAACCAGTGTAGTACGACTTAAAAACTATGCTCTTGTCCCACCAGAGAAACTTGATGATCAAGTTGGACTCTAACTAGTTTTAAAGAAAAAGCTGCCAGCTTTATCTGAAAAGAGCAGCAAACCTGCCCTGATATGCCATCAGAGCTGCATACTGTGCTGAGGACATCTGCCCTTCCATGGCTCTTCTGTTGTATACCTTTTATCACGTGCATCTTTCTTACCGCTGTTTCCCTCCTCCTTTACAGCCACGCTCAGTCCCTGGCAGCGTTGCAGGCCTACTCGCACTGGCTAGCGCAGTTCTACAGTGAAGTTCACCGGCAGAACCCGGAGCAGTTCATCTCTCTCGTCTCCACTGCCCTGGAGGCAATTACACCCCTCATCAGCTCTAAGGTATCTCTCAGTTCTAGCCTGTGAGCTGAGACTAAGCTTCCATGTAGAGGAGCAGGAGACTGTTAAACGATAGGGTAGCGGTGTTTTGTTTAGGCGTTTAGCGGTCTGCTGTGGACCACAGTGTGTGTGACTCTTGATGTGCCTCTGTCTTTGAGAGCTGGATGTTTGACTTTCAGAGCCACAGCAAATATTTCATGGAAGGCGAGAATGATAGCCATGCTAAATAGTACCGTGGCATAAATGACTGCAAGAGTAAGCAGCTTCTTATTAGGCACATTAAGTCTTATGATTTTATGGCTCGGAAATTTTTTTCCCTTCCTGGTATTAACTAGTAGGGGGACTTAACCTGTGTTCTGATTTTTGGCCAATAAATACTACATATAAACTCTCCTGCTTGTGATTACTCAGTAGTGGCAGCTCCTCGTGCTGTCTGATACTGGTGTTGCATCCTGAGGTTTTCTGTGGTGGTGTTAGTGAGGACACTGACCACGTGCCCTCTCTTTCAGGTGCAAGAGAAGTTGCTGTTATCTGCGTGCCACTTGCTAGTCTCTTTAGCCACCACAGTACGACCAGTGTTCTTGATCAGCATCCCAGCAGTGCAGAAGGTGTTCAACAGGATCACAGACACTTCTGCTCAGCGGCTTCCTGATAAGGTGATTTTTGGCACAAAAAAACATGAAGAACGTAGATTAGGTGTCCTTGGGAAGCAGTACCTCAGTTCTTACTGTGTTTTTTAAAAAAAAAAAAAAAACAAAAAAAAAAACAAAAAAAAACACAGTAACTCTGTACACTGGATATTCAGGAATCCAGGTTGCATAGTTTATCAGTAGTGATCTATATCAACCACAGCATAGTGAAAAAACAATTGCAGCACTTAAATCTTTCTCTTTCATTTGTTGACACAGCCCCTGACCCCACACCTGCTCACTTTGTCTTTACAATACTGGTATGTTTCTGACACGTGACGTTCTCTGCAAAACTAGTAGCGTTCTGTATTCCTTGCTTCAAATTAATGTTTATATTACAGAAGTGCGGAAAAGCCACAATAGAGATTGAGATACCGTTGTATTATGTACGAGCATGAAAGTATAAAATGCTGTACACACCTACAAGCTTAATGCATAAACCAAACAGCCAGCAATAAAGGTGACATCATCTTTATTTTAGAGAGAACATGAAGTATAGAAACCTACTGTTGCACAGGAAGGCATGACAGTGTGGGAAGCTGACTCCAGTCCTGAAATCCTGGAGCTTTGCTTCTTTCTCTTGTCTTGTAGAGCTGCTACTTTTCCCTGGGACTCAACTTCTGCTATTGAACTCTTTCCTCAGGTAGTGAGCGCTGCTGCATGTCTTGAACAGCTGTAAATGTCAGTCTAGGGTTATGCTCTAGTATGTCAGCCTAGTACGGTGCTCTATAGCAAGCACTAGAAAGTTTCATCTCTTTGCTTAATGTCTTGTTGCTTCCAGGCCCAGGTGTTGGTGTGCAGAGCACTGTCAAACGTATTGTTGCTGCCCTGGCCAAATCTTCCAGAGAGCGAACAGCAATGGGCAGTTCGCTCCACCAACCATGCCAGTCTAATCTCTGCCCTCACAAGAGAATATCGCCAATTAAAATCCAATGCCATCTTGCCACAGAGGAAAGTGCAACTGGAAGACAGTAAGTGCCAAGTTTCTTAACATATGCTGTCTTCTGACAGTAACAGCACAAACTACTGATTGAGGATGGTTAAGTTTTTTGTTTTTTTTTTTCCCCAGTAACTATCGTCTCAGAAATTGTGTTTAGAATAAGGAGGGAAGGAGCAGGTAGACTCTTCTCTTCTGTGAAGAGATTCTTATTCTGTGGGTGTGTAAAGGGCGCTCTTACTCCAGGTTGCCTGTAAACTGTTCTGTCAAAGCATGGTCTTTCTCAGTTGTCCAGGGAGAGAGAGATCAAGTTTTTGAAAAAACTTGGAATAGCCATGATTGCTTGAAGAATGTTTAACAGACTAATGCTGGGGCTACCAAACTGTTTTAGAAAAGTCGACTGGAGGCAGCATTGGTGAAGATTACAGCCGTAGAAACTTGAAGGGAAAAATAAGATTTTCTTCAAGACTTAGCGAGTCCTGTAGAGGATGTCTATAATTAGGAGAAGAGCCCTGCACTGATGGGGTCCAGGGACCCTTGGGAGCTTCAGTATATGTTTTGGGGAGGTGGAGAGGAGTTTAGTTGGCTTGGGGCGGTTTTGGGGGCAGATCTTTGGTTGTTTTTGAAGTCTGCAGTCTCACAGCTCTGACAGATCACTGTGCAAACCTAACATGCTGGTCAAATCTGCGCAGGGAAGGAATGAGTGTGGGGGAAAGGGCCATCTGATCCCTACAGGAAGAATATCGGCAGACCGCTCGTGTGGTTTCAACTGAGCCACTTGAGTTCTGCCGACGTTTGGGTTAGCTGATAAAGTGATTGTGTGTCACTCGAGTTATTGCTTTCAGAAATAGAAACCCCAGTATATTGGGCTGTCCTAAAGTGCTTTTTTTTGTTTTTCCTGACTAGTGTTTTGTTAGCAATAGCGAACGTTTGAAACAATATAGTTTACAGCTTCTCAATCTCTATACCTTAGTGCTCAAGCAGTTGGTACTTCTGTAGGGCAGTAAGCCTGTATAATTTAAGAAGGCAAGTAGCTGCAGTGACTTAATTGAACCTGTTTAAATACTTAAAATGTAAGCATGCACTTGGGAATGTCTTTGATTCAGATATGGGCTCGGTGTATGTACCATCTTGAAGGCTTTAGTTATGACACGCACGAATTTGACTTTGCCTCGTTTCTTGCCTCTGGTGAGTAGTTTTGCTGTATACAGAAAGTATCATCTCTGTCTCGTTTTGCAGCCAAAGTGATCATCCACCAGACGCTCAGCGTTTTAGAAGATATTGTAGAGAGTATCTCTGGAGAATCCACCAAGTCCCGACAGATCTGTTATCAGTCGCTGCAAGAATCCGTGCAGGTCTCACTAGCCCTCTTCCCAGCTTTCATTCATCAGTCAGGTATAACCATAGGACAGGCTTTAATGCTGTGAGTAGCTTTATGACCAACTGATAATATGCAAAGTCCGTCAACATAGAATTGTGATGTTCGTGTGAAGTGTGTGGGTTTACTGTGCCAGAGTGTAACGTGAATCGGTACTTCTGGGTGGTTGTTCAAATGGAAACTTGTGAATTGGGCTGAGTCTTCAGCCAGAACAGGAAAGGAAGACCTTGTACTCCGCCATCTAGGAAATGGTCATAAAGGTTTGTCTCCCATTGAAAAGATGGAGATGCCCTATGTTCGGCAGTGAAACAAGAATAGAAGTGTTCCTGAGCACAAAACAAGCTTTAAAACGAGCTCGCTCTCTCTAAAGTATGTTTGGCGTTCAAGCTTGGAGACAAAGAGGAGTAGCTCTCATCAGATCAGGTCAAATGCTTTTTCTGCAAAGGAAAGCCTCTTGAGATGAAAGCAGGATTGTTGCTTGGCAATCTTGTTGCCATCAGCTTAAGAGGTTTTGTATCAGATCAGGATAGCTTGAAAGCCCAGGACTACTGCAGCTTCTCACATGAAGAGCAAAGCACTCTGGAAAGATTTCCTGGAAATAGGTGGCAAGTTTCTCAGTGGAGTAGGCATGGGGGGGGAGTAGGAAGGATCCAAGAGAGCATGCTGAAGCTGTGACTCCACTGAGTTGCTGTGCAGGGAGAGGCCAGCAGCCTCGTGCAATTGTGTTAGCTATAAAAGGCTGCGCAAAGCAAGAGCTGCACAGCTACAGCTTAACATGCTTATTCAATCAAGCATGCTGGGACTGATGGAGAATTAGCTGATCCTGTAGTGCTGATATCAGCTAACTGCACAACCATGTGCTGAAAATTACTTACGAAGTCAGAAGGATCTCTTCAGTTCCTGCTTTTATTTAAAAAAAAAAAAAAAAAGGTTAGATTCTATTTCTTAGCTACTGCAAACTGCATAGATGTTTTGGATTTCCTTGCATTTCCTGTTAACCCTATAAAAGTGGTGAACAACTGGAGGTTAGCCCAGACCATTGCAAGAGCTTTCTCCAAGCATTCTGTGTAGGCAGACCAGGTTAAGGGTCTTCATTGATAGTATCATATTTGTTCTGGAAGTTGTCTGGTGCTGACTGTACTTGTCGTCCCTGGCAGTTTCTGAAGTGGATGAACAATCTTGAAGCTCTGTAGTACCAGCTGTTGGTTTCCATTTCTAATGGGAGCCCTGCTGCTACATTTCAAAGAACAAATGGGTCTCCCTGTACAGAAGGAACAGATCGATCGCTCATTAAAAAAAGACTTCCTGGTGTACTTCAGTGCTGACTTAACACGTTCTTTTGGCTTTCCTGTTCTCATCATAGATGTGACAGATGAGATGCTGAGCTTCTTCCTCACTCTGTTTCAAGGACTGAGGGTGCAGATGGGAGTGCCTTTCACTGAGCAGATCATACAGACCTTTCTAAACATGTTCACCAGGTATTGTCCCATGTTGATCACTTTCTTATCCCTCAGGATGATTTATTGTGGTGAGCTGCTCCCACAAGTCTGTTCCCAAGGAATATAATGCTTCCAACCTCTTTGTGGCCAGATTTTTGCCATGTGCCAGGACTAAATCTGAGAAAAATGATTCTGGAGTCTGAGACAACCCAGCCCACACACAGTCTAGTCTTGAAGTGTGTGATACTGAACTGGACCCCAGCACTGCTGATTAGCTACTACCCAAGATCTGAGTGTGCCCTAATCATCTCTAAAAGCTCTTAATGTTGGAGGAGGATGTCTGTTAATCCTCAGTCAAAAGCCAGCTCCCTTCTGAGGCTTAATGTACTTGATCTGTATTAATTGGGCAAACCTAGTTAGGGGTACCATCTGCCTTCCATTATATTAGGTAGCAGATCTCTAGGGTGGTTCCTATGTTGTGACTTTGTGTTGCAGGGAGCAGTTGGCAGAGAGCATCCTCCATGAGGGCAGCACTGGCTGTCGGGTGGTGGAGAAGTTTCTCAAAATACTGCAAGTTGTGGTACAAGAGCCAGGCCAAGTATTCAAGCCTTTTCTACCCAGCGTCATCTCACTGTGCATGGAGCAGGTCTACCCCATCATTGCAGAGGTAGGACTGTTGCCACACTGGGTGGAGGAAGGGGGAGACTGGATGAAAAGGTTGCGCTGGGGTGTGGGAGCAATGAAGTTTTTTGGGTTTTCCTGTAAATGTCAGTCCCTGTGCAGGGCAAAGTGGGTGACTAGACAGTGGGAAGCAGAGTGGGCAGAGGACTTTGTCAGGGCTTGTCAGAGAAACTAAAGTTGTAGATATGCTCAAAGCAGAAGGTGGAATTCATAACTGAATAGTTAGGTTTTTAATACTATTCAACAGTCACTGGGTTTGACGCTTTCCTTAGAAGGAAATGCTTTGATATACTGGTACCTTTGCTGCAAAGCACTGTCCTGGGTGGCCACTTGGCAGGATACTGTTAGCAGTGGGATTCCAGCACAGGAACTGGTTTTGAGTTGTTCTCTTCTTCTTCTTCTAGCGCTCATCTCCTGATGTGAAAGCAGAGTTGTTTGAGCTGCTTTTCCGGATTCTCCATCATAACTGGCGGTACTTTTTCAAATCTAGTGTTTTGGCCAGTGTCCAAAGAGGAATAGCAGAAGAGCAGATGGAGAATGAAGCACAGTTCAGTGCCATCATGCAGGTAACCTGGTTACTCTTGCAGTTGTCCAGCACCCTTTCTGCGATGGAGTGTATGCTGGTTGCAGCAGCGCATTAAAAACTTGGCTCATTCAGATTAGACAGTGTCTTGAGTGAGTTGTTGAGTTTAGGAGCTGCTGAAAATCATCAGAATGCCTGTAGAGTAGCCTAGTTGCTATGCTTGCAAGGCAGTGCCTCACCGAGGAGGGGGAAATACAGAGTGAGGATGGGATGTTAATTCCTTTCCATGCCTACGTCCTGCATGAGACCCTGTGTCTGGACCTCAAACATTACTGATGCTGACTCACTCACTGTTGTTGCAAGTATTATGGTTAGCACTAGCACAAACTATGCAGAAAAGTTTACTTGAGACCAAGACGGTCTGTTTTTTATATGGACTTGTTCTGTGCTGTTCCATTGGATCTGGTAGGGATGGATCAGTGGGGTAATCCTGTAGGCTTTCTCTGGAGGGATAGAGAAGGGAGAGGCAGTGCTAGCATGTATGCAGAGCCAGCACCAGTCTTGCCAGATTTGAGGTATTTAAATTTTAAAGAGCAACAGACCGTTCCACATGTTGCTGAGATCAGAGCTGGCTAAATGAATTGCTGTACAGTTCCTAGATGTAAGAACTACCTCCGAAATAGGTAGTGCAACTTGAAGTAAAATCAGAATCAGCCTTCTAATCAGTAAATCTTATCAGACTACCTGGTGTGGGACCCTTTACCTCCAGCCCACTTCAGTGTAAACGAGGGACTTGCACCATGCCCTGGAAGCTCAGAGCCTAGGGCTTGCCTGGCTGAGGGCACTGAACACCAGAGTGGAGGGCTCTCCACTTCTCTCTTCAGGTGGGAGGACTCTGCCAAATTGCCCCGACCTGTTGTGGAGTGCTTGCAGGTCCTGGGTCCCTTCTGGGATATGAGGGAGGAGGGAGCTTTTGCACTGACATGAACGAGGTTTCACGTTTCTCTCCAGCCTTTCCTTATCTTAACATCTTTTGATGTGAATGAGGCCTGAGTTAGTCTCTATGCAGGGCTGTCCAAGCATCTTTTTCTTTTTCTCCTGTGGCAGTGTAACACTACCAAACTCTCTTCAGTGTCTTGTTTTGGGGGACACTTGCTTGTTAATCTCAGTATTAACCACATGCTAGTGGACAATTCTGGACTACTTGGCTCCTGGTGTTTTGATGCAAAGCTTTTATTTAACGTCCTGTAAATGTTCTCCACTGTGAGAACAGCCTGTGTTTGTGTTCAGGATATTACTAGTTTATGTACTGGTTTCCACTGGGCATGGGAGTCCAGAGCTGACTCAGTCTTGCAGAAGCTTGAACCATTTTTGGCCATCTAACAACAAATGGCTAATGTGGAGGCATACCCTTCTGTTTCCTGATACATCTCTTGGAGCCTATGAGAGCATTAGCTAGTAAAATTCTGCTGCCCCCCCTTTGCTCATCTCTACAGTGTTTCAGAGGAGCTCAGAGCAAAAAAGATGTTTTATCCCAAAGTCTGCATAAGCTACTAAACTAGTCCAGTGGAGTCCAGCAAACTTTATTCTTAGACCCCTCCCCGTTTCTGTAATGCCAGGTTCACCCTTCCAAGTCTCTTCTCTAATTTCTTTTTAATTTCCTCTAGAAACATGTTAAACACATCTGCCAGTTGCCTTGGTCTCTAGACTTAGAGGAGAATAGAACTTCTGTGAGTGTGTTCTGGCTTTGTTCATGCTCGCTATAGTACTCTAGGTAGTGTCTGAGATATACCCCAAATCCTTCATGAGCAAACAGCCTGCCAAGGGCACTGCTCTCAGCATCCGGTGTTCCTCTTCAATGAATGCTTGGCCACCTGTTCCCAGCAGACCTAGCTCAGAAAACTGTTCTGCAAATTGTGGATAGGATCATATTTCCACTAAAGCTTCATCCCCATTGATCTGGCAGCAGCACAGTTGATTTTAAACAACCGCTGCTTTTGTGCGTTAGCTGCGCTGAGAAGCAGCAGAGGCTCCTAGGGTCCATGAGGGATTTGTTCTTCTCGGACATCAGTGCGGCCCACAATGTAGGCAGAGCCCAAGTTCTTGGCGTACGTCTCAGGTGAGATCCGTGAACAGGTTCTGTTTGACTGGAGAGCATTGCTGGGGTGAAAACGTTCTTGTTCTGTCTGACAGGTTCGATACGCGTTATGGTATCAGTCCCCTTCCTTCAGGTCTGCTTTTGTTTGTAGGCGTTCGGCCAGTCCTTCCTGCAGCCTGACATTCACCTATTCAAGCAAAATCTCTTCTACCTGGAGACGCTGAACACCAAGCAGAAGCTGTACCACAAGGTGGGTTCTAGTTGACCAGTGCATGTTCTGTGTCTTACTTGGTAGGGAATTGTGAGTGACTGCCAGGGAAGCTGTGCTAGGCAAAGGGCAGTTAAAGGCTAGTGTCTTCCAATCCGAAGAGGGTGTGGAACTGCCATGTGATATTAGAAAGCTACCTTTGAAGCTCTCAAATGGCCCATAAACTGCAGGTCAAGATTTGAGGGCTTAAATACCACAGCCTGTGGCTTCTGTGATCCTCTTGGATGCGTTGCTGGTCAGAGTGGCGTTACCATCTCCCTGATACTGTTGCAGTGGAGGCAGGAGGGATCCCAACTCTAGCCAGTCAAAGCAAAGCGTAGGTATGTGCCTCCCAAGAAGAAGGGAAAGCACAAGAGCAAGCATGGTGACAGCATGATTTCAGCCTGGCGAAGTGGAAATTGGGATCATCAGCAGGACAGCGGCTGAGTCCTCTGTCGTTCTTACCTGGGTCAGCAGCAGGTTATTTATTTAATCTTTACTGTGGAGTCACTGCTAGGGGTTGTCCATTGCTGTCATGTGGGACCCATCCTCCAGACCTCCAGTCTCGTTTTGACTTGTTAGCTGCTGTCTTGAAGGGCTAGAGTTGGAATCCAGGGTCCTGCCCTTCTGGTAACTCTGTGAAAGCAGAGCTTTGGGATTTACATTTGTGGTCACAACTCGAGGACAATCCTTCACGTTAACAGCTGCCCGTTACAGACTCTCAGGCAGCTAGCCCGATTCCCTAGGAACTCGAGATGCTTTCAGGAGCACTATGCAGGGTTAAAATTGGCTTAAAAGACGCTGCTGTTGGCAAAGTGGCCTGGTGCAGCCCTGCTCGCTTACCCAGTCTGATCTTGATGAATTGTTACTCCTGAGGCTGTGCACTAGCTGCTGACCCTCTTGCGGGAGGATTGCTGGTGTGCAGACATGTAACTTTGTACTGCTTTTACCATGCAGAAGATCTTCCGGACGACCATGCTGTTCCAGTTTGTGAATGTGCTACTTCAGGTGCTTGTCCACAAGTCACATGACCTGTTGCAGGAGGAGATTGGCATTGCCACCTACAATATGGCATCAGTGGACTTTGATGGCTTCTACTCAGCCTTTCTCCCCGAGTTCCTGGCCAGTTGTGACGGTGTGGACTCTAACCAGAAAAACGTGCTGGGAAGGAATTTCAAAATGGACAGGGTAAGAGGTGGGAATGCTTCAGAAGAGTGAAAGTGTTCCCAGTACATGGCAGTGTTGTTTTACTCCTAAAACATGTTAGCCAACAGCCAGAGGTTCTCCGAGCAGTGTTTTGAGGCAGTGCCTTTTTTGTTACAAACACTTTCATAATTGGCAGTGCGTATGCTAGGATTTCTCAGTGTGGGTAGCGAATCTGCCATCTCATCTCTTGGACTGCCTTATGCTGTGGGAGTTGAGGAATATATTTCCTGGAGGGAGTTTTCACAGGAGTAGACTGATGTTTTCTAAAGTGGGATGCTTGGATCTTTGCCAAAATTTAGCTCCAGCTGCTTGCCAGATGTTTGAGGGTTACAGTGAAGGTGACAGCAGTATAGCTGCTTGCGTTTCTTTCAAACCAAACCCCTTGTGAATGTGAAGCAAATGGGGGTCTATAACCTCCCCACAGAACATCCTGGCAGTGCAGCAGGTCTTGGTTTCCATCTACTTCCAAGCTTGCTTGTCCACTGAGTGTTTCCTCTCCGGTTGGAGATGGCGGGGATTTGAGGCCAAGGTTAGAGTGTGGGAAAGGTGACTTGAGAGAATCACTGGACTCCAGTAGGCAGCTGAGGGAAAGTTAACCTTTGTTATGGGATATCTGGGACCCAGAAGCCTTGGCAGAAATGTGCTGAGCAATTGCCGCTGCAGATGGCCTTTTTGTGGCCAATGCGTTGTGCCTAACTGCACGTGGAGAAGCCAGTGCCGTGAGCAGAGTGCCAGTTCTCTATAATCAGCTCTTTGCTTGGAGCAGCTCTGCAATCTATGGTCCCTGTACATAGGCTGCAGAAACCAGGGTTTCCTGGGCTCAGACTCTGGCAAAAAATGGTCTGACTTTCTCCTATGAAAGACACACGGGGCTTGTGGCCCTCTCAGTTCATTTCTAATTTCCACTGTAAGACAGTGCTTGTAGGTATGGTTCTGTTTGCAGTACAATGTGTTGCTTGATCTTTTCCAGGATCTGCCGTCATTTACCCAGAACGTGCACAGGCTGGTGAATGACCTGCGTTACTACAGACTCTGCAATGACAGTTTGCCCCCTGGAACTGTGAAACTATAGTTACTGCACTGGACTCGTGTTTTGATCACTGTAAGGAATGGATCCATATTTCTTTTGCCACCACATTCTCTCCTCCCTGATTTTGTCAGTACTGCAGGACGCAGCGTCTTGCACATGGGCACATGTTATTGGATTCACGCACCACGCTTCCTTTTTCTTCTCTCCCAACCCAAAGGCCCCCAGTTGGAGTCAGCACTGTCTGCAGGATGTGTCTTAATGCCCAACCACAGGGCAATTCAACTGTATGGAAAGTCCTCTCACTGGGGTTTTGTTTTACTAACGTAGCACTTTGTTGCCTCCAGAGATTACTGTGGAGTTGTCTCGAGAGATCTTGTGCGTATCAATCATGAGGCAGAAGCGCCAAAGACTACTTCAGACATTCGTACCTTCGTGTCATTCCACCCTTCTGCCCCTGCCCTGCTCTCAGAGGAGGAGACTCATGATGTTGGGACTGTTTTGGCACTTCTGTCACTCCCTTTGTTTTTAAATTGCCTTGAAAACCTCCCTGCTGTTTGTGGGGATTAGAGACTTTTTTTTTTAAAACGTTTTCTCATCATTCCATTGTGATACTAAAACAACATGCTTAATGGAAATAAAGTGCTTACTTTGTTGTTTTAAATAACTGCTCTTAGTTCCCTTATGGGCCTATCTGTCACCAAGCCTTCTGCTAGGTCATGTTTCATACTGTAGACAGTGGTCTCTGCAACCCTCTGCAAGACCAAGGATTGTCTGCATTGCCTATGCCATGCTGTGGGTGCAGACATGCCTTGCTCAGGCCCTGTGCAAGTCGCTGTGCTCTGGGAGCAGTCTTGCTGCCCTTGAAGGGTGCTGCACCTAACTGGCACTGATAGATATTGGCTTCTTCCTGCACTTTAGCCTTGTTGTATTTACAGCCTATGTTGCCTGTGTTTTGTATCATCCATTGTGGTGGTTTGCTTATTCCCTCCAGCAGTCCGTTGTCCCAGGTGATCAAGAGCTGCTTGTAGAAGGAAAATCTCCTGACGTTCATGATGTTGCGTCACAGGACATCTGAGCTGGAGGCCAGCTCCTGGCCAGAATGACCTGTCATTGGCGTTTGAGCACAAGATTAAAATCCCCGCTCAAATTGTGCCGGTTCCCATGGGGCTTGCAAAGAGTCTTTGGTCATGCAACTGGGAGAGATTTTTCTCTGGTGTCAGCTAGTATAGAGTGTTAAACTGATCTTAATCCTCTGCTGTTTTCCTTCCTACAGTTATGGGGGCAGCCAAAGCAAGGGTTGTGTGGTGAGAATAGTGCCTGCTGTTGTGAAGGGAACACCCCTGGAGTTGATCAGATCAGTGTGGGTCCTACTATAAGATGTCTGACAGACACGAGCTTGAAGTGAGATGGCTGCACGAGGGATAGCTGCAATGTCTCAGCAGTGAGATGCAGTCACTGAGCGCTAGTTGTACAGTTCCCGTGGTTCAAGTCTGTGAAAAATGACAACAGCTTGCAAGGCACACGTTTACCATTTGAAGACAATGTTTGTTGTTTGGATAGCCTGTTTCCACTCAGAGCCCTGCATCCAGGTCGTGTGAACTGGGACCAATTTGATGTTTATGGGTTTCATTCCCTGCAGTGAGCTACTCGACTTGGAAGGCATGCCTATGCCTGAACCGAAGAGTCCAGCCTACCACGGACATGCTTCACCAGGTATGGTCCATACGACTGAGCTGCATGAACTACTGTTGTCTGTGGAGGCTTGTCAGCTGTGTGACCACCAGCTTGGGATGGGGTAATGATCTAGCACGGAGAGAGACCTTCTTGACCACCACCAGAGTGCACAGCTGTGACCTGCTCAGAGAGGACTGAAGGCATGCGCATGAGGAGCACGTGGTCCAGGGCAGCCCGCTCTAGCAAAGCTATTGCGGGGGTGCAATTGATGCCCTGATCAGTAACCCATGCTGCAGCGCAACCCACCAAGGCAGCCCCGCTGAGCTGCAGCGAGGGATGGTGGTGGTGGCTACCTGCCACCTTCTCAGCCAAGCACTGTGTGACTTCCTTCAGAAAAGTGCTAACAGGAAGCTGGTTAAGACCCGCTGACTCTTGACCTTGACACAACAGTGAGACCAGCGCCAGGCCTTCCCTGCAGCAGGTACTGTAGCTGGCGCTGCCTGGTCCTTGCTGCTTGCACTGCCAGCTGCCTGTGTCCCGGAGGCTCGTGTGAGCACTGGGACCCGGTGATGCTCAAGTCTGAGGGCCCCAGTCTTGCTCGAATGTTAGAGCTCTTGTGCATCCTATAGCTGCTAGGGGAAGTCCTCTTGTGAAGAAATCGCTAAGTGCTGGTGTGGAGAGGCACCAAGGGCACCCCTAGAGAAGGTGCACAGACTATCTGACTGGCCTGCTGGGGCTGCAGGTCTGCTGTTGGCCTGCCGCAGCCTTCCCAGCGTGCAGAAGTCTCTTTCAAGAGCAAAAAAGGTCGTTTATATCCCAGCCTGACAGGAGCTGGTCTTGTCCTGGCTCTAGGACAGCAGCTACCCCAGGTTGTTTCTGCAGTCCAAGCAGGTCACCTCTGCAAGATGGTAGTATGGGCTCTGGGGTTGGGGCAGGAAAGGACTCTACCCTGAAGGACAGCCATGGCTTGAGACAGATGCTTGATTTTTCTTTTTTAAAAAAAAAAAAAAAAAGAAAAGGGGCACAGCTCTGCTCTGAGCATGGCTCCCTGGGCTGGGGGTGGTTGTCTCTTGCAAAATGTCAATTTGCTAACACGAGGTGAAAGTACATGTTTTTTCTCCCCTTGCTGACCAAGGGCAGCGCTTTGGAAGGCAGCCAAGCCTGGCCCTTGCAACCTGCACACCCTTACGCTAAAAGCTCAAAAGTGTTGTGACCCTTGCTGTGTAGAGAAAGTCACTTCTCCTTTGCTAGTCATTGCTGTCAGCGCATGGTCTAACTTCCACACATGTCCCTTTGCACAGACAAAAACGCTCCCAGACTTTGTCCTAGAAAAATCAGCCTTTAGTGAGAGGGGGAGCCTCAACTGTGCTCATCGAGTCAGTAGAGGAGGCAATAAGAGGTCAGTCCAGTGCCAACCTGGCTCCGTTACAGCTGTCACTGACTCAAGGCGCTGTAGATCCCAGGCCATCTCGGAGCTTGCTAGGCACTGCTTCAGGGCTCAGCAGAGCTTTTTACCTAATCCCCTGTCTCCCTCCTGCTGCACCGAGACCTACAAGTGATGGGGAAACATGCTCAGGCAGATGAGCTGGAAGAAGCTGAAGAACTGAGACTGAAGATGAACCCTCCAGCTTGCTCATAATAGGCCTTTTCTCATGGAATAAAAACTGCAACTTCCCTTCTCAGCTCTTAGGTTTAGTTGGAAGGGGTCTGAGCCAGCTGCTGGGGAGCAGAGGGGCCCTGCCTGGAGCCCTGGCCCTGGCCCTGGCCCTGCTCCGTTACCAGCTTCCCGGCTCAGCGGGGAGGTGGAGGAGGGAGGGCAGCAGAGCCGAGCTCCCTCTGCATCCTGGCGAAGGAGGAAGCTGCAGCAAGGCTTTGGGAAAAGGCGTCGCGTCCCTCGCTCAGGGGAAGTGCGTTTTGGAGGAATGGAGAAGTCAATGTTTCCAAATAGGAATTTCCCCACGGCTCAGGGCTGTTGCTGGCTCCTGGCGTGGCATCTGGATGGGCAAATCCCACCAAGTCGTGTGTCTCATGGCTTCCTTTAGGAGAAGACCGCTTTCCTGGCACACGGCTGTTGTGGGACCAAGACAGCGCTGCGCGGGTGGTTTGGTGGGGACGGGGGTGGATTTGCTGAACGGGGGACGCTTTCTGGGGCAGCGCGGGAGGCAGGCGCCCCT